CAAGAGGGTTGCGGGGACCTTCCCGATGCGAAGATGAGTCTCTTCGGGGGCCTTCGTGTATAATCGCTGACTAAAGGAATAGGGCGCATAGTGGTCACGTTAATAGCAGAAAGCACGGGGGCTTTTCTGCTAAAACGCCAGTGCGCACGCGAGCTTCTCCGCCTTGGGCTGGCCTCGAGTGGGCCGTGTCGTGCGGGCCTCGTCGCGTGGGCCGCGCGAGTGGGCCACGCGGGAGGTTTCGTTTTTCTTTTCCTGAGGAATTAGAAATAGTTTTCTAATTTAATTTTTGAACTGATCTTTGATAAATCATATAAAATCATGTAGGTGTCCAAAAATTGTGAAACAAATTTTGTTAGGTACCTAAAATTGTGCTCGATCTATTAGTGTATTTAGTTCATATATGTACATGATACCAGGAGCTATTAAATTATTTGAAAATGTTTAGTATTGTTAGAAGAATTATTGTAGGAATTCTTGTGGTAAATTGGTGGTAGATTTAGTCCTAAAAATTTTATAGTAGCTTCATGGTATTATTATGTGCTCATTGTAATTTTTGTAGCTTTAGTATAGACTAAAGATTAGGATAGTTAAATGCTCTTTGTTGCAATATGCATTAAATCATTAGTAGAAATAAAGATATATTCTTCATTTATAAAGCTAGGTGTTTGTTAGTTGAATCCAACACCTTGCTTGATGAAAATGATAGTTAGCTTAGTAGCTTAGTATGTGTATTCTTAGTTTAGGAGTTGCTATTGCTTAAATGATAAGTGTTGCATCATCATCGCATGCATGTAGAGAATGAGTTGGCGGAGATCATGACCACCGGCGATCATGAGTTTGAGGAGTACGAGGAGGAGATTCTCGTGCAGGAGGAGGTCTCAGAGCCACCACTGACTGACTCAACTGACACCGCGCCTACCCAAGGCAAGCCCTGGTGCATAACCCCTTATTTTTTATAATCACTGTTTATATATGTTATGTGCATTATGTTACAGGAATTTTATGAAAACCACCTGCATAAATATATCTGTCCTAAGAGTCTTACTAGTGCAGGTTCGAGTAGCTGCTCTACTTAGGTTTTTTGGTAGCGTGAGTAACCTCCCGTTACTCACAATAAGTGATTATTATATTTACTCTCATGATAAAATGATGAAAGGAAAAATGGAGACCGGACAGGGATATGGTATATATATTGGTGGGTGTAACAGGTTATGTCCCGCCGCCAATGGGGCTTAGCTTGGTTACACTGTTTTTCTTGTTCGTGTCGATTAAGGACCGTCCGTTGCTGTGGATGGTAGTCAGGTCACAGACTTATTATCTTGAGAACATACTTGCTTATGGAAGCGGGAAAGCTCGTTACGCTCTTGTTGTGGGTTCAGGCTCTTTCCAGACTGGCTGATTGGAGACGGGGACAGATGGAGGTCTAAGCACCATACTGAGACCGGGTCTCAAGTGTGGGGGCTTAGAGTCCAAGTTTGGACGGGGACCTGAACCCCTTGACAGGAGTGGAATGGGTTGGTCTTGTTTGTGCCTGGGGTACAAATAGGACGTGTGTTACTGGGTACCCAGCTGGGATACATTGGTTCACGAATTGCCGTTTCCGTGAGACGGTACGACTTGACTATAGTCTAGCACTGTAGTAAGAACTGAAAGATGAAAGATGGTAAAATAGTTCTGATTGCTCAACTCTTGCTTGAAAGTAGAACATGTGCTTACCTAAAATGGTTAGCTAATGAAGTAATCATGATTGCTAATAAAACTTGACTGTAAGGATAAAGTGTTAGTAATGCTTTTCACAAACAAAAATAAAACAACAAACTCATATTGTCTATCATACACCTTGAGAGTAGGAAAACTATTCCTACTAGTCGGGTAAGTCTTGCGAGTACATTGTGTACTCAGGGTTTATTTTACCCCTATTGTAGGTGCAGCTTGAGGAGTAGCTCTTGTGTGGAGGATTCTTCTGGTGGGCACAAACGGATCCTTTTATCGTTTCCACTAGATGCTTATTTTTATTCCGTTGTTTAATTATCGTACTATGAACTCTGGTATTGTAATAAATAATTTCTAAGAACTCTTATTGTATGAAATGGACTAAGTATTATAAGCTCGTGCTTATTATTGGATTCTAAATGTAAAACGTGGATTGTTTCGAGTTCTCCCTTGGAGTGGGCTTGACGAAACTATCCGATATAGCAAACTTTCAGACGGAAAATATGTTATTTCGGACGGTTCTACCACGTCATATCTCATGGTCTTGGCTTTACTTAAATTGCTTGTTGCAAATTAGATTCATAGATTGCCTGATCTGCTAAGAATGCAGAGGGCATATAATTAGTTTGAAAAAGTCTACATAACTCCCTCACTTTTGGCACTTTGGCTACTCCACCTCTAAACTTTAAAACCATCTAACGAGCACATTAAAGTTTCTTGAACCGTTTAATTAAGCCCCTGGAATGGTTTTAGCAGCCTGTTTTGTCTACCTGCCGCTCAACCTGGTAGCAAAAAACACACTGGCGGTGAGGCCCATCTGTCATACCCCTTCGTTGGTACCCGTCCGCTCTTCCCCACCTGTCCCGCTCGGTTTGAGAACAAACCAGGCGAGCATGAAGCTGCCGGAGAAGACGTACGACTGATTAGGCAGGCAGCCGATGCTTCTGGTTCTCGTCCGCCCTGACCCTGCCTCTGCCGCCGCCCCGCATGCGCACGCAACAACCTCACGCCTCACTCCGTGATGTCCCCGGCGACCTCCTGGACTGCGACGGGACAGGCGCCTGCTGCCCCGACGACCCACTCGAACTCATCCTCCAGCCACCGCCGTGGACTGAGCGCCGTCGTCATCGCTGGCGGTGCTCGGGACTGCCCAATCCTTTTCCCCGGCCTCGATCCAGACTAGACCATTTGGTGTCCCTTGTGCTCTGGCCTACGAGCAACAATTTATATAATATATATAGAGCATGTTCAGTTCGGACTGAACCATAACGTGCAATAGGGACACTTGAAACATCGTCTAACCACAACCATAATCTTGGACTTCACCTAGTGAGGTGGGCTTCTCCTAATGTTTTAGTATTTAATTTTTAGTATAAACTTTCCCTACTAAACGTCTCGTAGTGAGGATTCTCATGTGCATGACCAATGATAGTGTTTTATTACTAATTAAAAACACTAGAAGAATTCCAGTTTGGTAGTGAACACAATATAATGGAAATATGTGCAAGTTCATCGGCAACATTTTTTTCCTCTTTGCTAACCACCTTCATTTTAAAGCTTTGCAGCTGCTGGCCTTCCTACTTATAGCTTGATGCACGATCGATGCCACCTAGGAGCGATCAGGTTGTACTTGCACCAAGCTTTTCAACAAGTCGACTATGGCAAAAAAAAAAAAGAGCTATCAGAATCGAGCATCATCATTTGCGCAGGCCATTGAACAAGATTGCTCTTCTTTCTCATCTGATGGAGCACCATAAACCGTTTCACAGACTCCATAAACCGTTTCACAGACTCAACAAAGCCTGCAGTGAGACATACTCTCTCCAGTTTGTAGAACACTATTACTAACACTACCAGCAGTGTGGCCCAGAATGTTGGAGATCCTTTTCTGATTGTATAACCCACCGCTTCCTCATAGCCTGACAGAGAGCAGTGGCGTGATTGTATCTTTCAATAAGCATGTGCCCTAGTGCTTTATTACTCCTCGATCTTGCCTTCCCTGCATTAGGTAGACTTCAGTCTTCAATTTTCCAATTCCAAGTCCAAGATACATACAAAGAGAGCTAAGCACTCCTATAGAACTAAAAACCACATATAGAAAAAAATTGAGGCATGCAAGTTAACAATTCAAATGATTGGCTCGTAATATATTCATTCAATTCAATTTGAATTATCTCCTAGGATCGTAGTAAGGTTGTCTTTTTTCACAAATATCTGAGTGTATATTTGTATTATCTACTAGTGTAACTTTCTTTTTCCTCCTCCTAAAACCTCAGTCTCATGCAAAGATTATGAGTATACATAGCATAGAGTACAAAGGATAGTTTTGCTCAGATTCTCAATGCCTTGGCTGATTTATTGTGAAAGAAAAATACTGTAGATTCTAGCTGATAAGCCGGCTGATAAGTTCAAGCGAACAGGCCTGTCTTTCCTAAAAAAAAATATGATACCTCCAGAATGTACACATGAGGTCTCGATAATACAAAGAGCAAATATATATGAGAAGGGTTTTCCTCAATATGTTGCACATAAGCATTTTCACATCCTCGTCTCTGAGAAAGAATCTGAATGAGATCCGAACTAACTTAGAGACCTAAAAATACCATTTTGAAACTGGATCGGATAAGCGTCCGTTTGGACCTGGACCTAAAAACACCATTTTGAAGCTGGGTCAAATAAACTCCCGTTTGGACCTGGTTAAGAGTGGGTCGGATAAGCGCCCGTTTGAACTTGGACCTAAAAACACCATTTTAAAACTGGATCGAATAAGCACCCGTTTGGACCTTGGATAAAAAAACACCATTTCAAAACTGGATCGAATAAGCACCCGTTTGGACCTTATTGGATAAGGCCTGAACTAACCTTTAACCTTAGGATCCAAAAAAAAAACCATTTTGAAACTTTTGAAAACCATGCAACACCCACGGACAACTTTACTTTTGAAACCTATGTATAACACCCACAGACAACTTTATGGACGTAGTGCATTTCGCTGTTCTAGACTTTCTAGTAGTTTTATTTAAGTGGTAAGTATTTATAGAGGTAAGAGAAAAACGAGTCACTGCTACAGTACAAAAGCAGGGGCTGTTCCCATCCAAACGGAGTCTTAGGAGTACCAAAGTGCTCTGTAATGTACAGAAGGAGCGAAAATAAACATAGCCATAAGGGCACAGAACTAAACATCACGGAAGTCTACTAGTGTAACAGTTTATTTGTATCGCCCAACGCGCATGCAGGGACGGCACAGGAAGGCGCGGCACGTAGCGGCGGGGGCGTGCACCACGCCATCACATCTTCCCCTGGCGGTGCACGCAGGACGAGCCGGCGCACCCCTCCACGCACTTCTCCACGCACTGGTCCACCCGCTCCTCCGCGCGCTGCCGCATCAGCCGGTCCTTCTCCTCGAAGTACACCGACGCCGCCTTCTCCGCTGCGCGCTCCTTCGCCGCGCGCTCGTCCTCGCCGCCTAGCCGGACGTCGACGTGCTGCTGCTGCTGCTGCTGGCCTTGCCCCAGCGTCAGCTTCTCCTTGATCGCGCCCGTCACGTTCCCCAGCGCCCCCAGCAGACCTTGTCCCTGCCCCCTGCGTGCATTTAAATCACACGATTAACAATCATTCGATCACTAGATTTTACTGTTACTATACGGCAGGACATCATACTTATCGGTGTCCTGAGGGCTGGCCGTCTCCCTTGCCTTGTCGGCGGCGGTCTGCGCTGTGGCCCGGGTCCTGTCCCTGGCCTCCTGCGCGGCCTCCCTGCTAGCTTCCGTGTACTCGCTCGCCTTCTGCCTGGTCACGTCCTTGGCCTCCCTCGCCTTGTCGGCGGTGGCACCCATCGTCTCCTGGGCCTTCTGCTTGGTAGCGTCCTTGGCCTGCCTCGCCTTCTCGGCGGTGGTGTCCACGGCCTCCCGCGCCTTCCCGGCCGCCGCGTCCTTGTACTCCCTGGGCTTGTTCTTGGTCGCCTCCGCGGTCTCGCTCGTCTTCTGCGCGACGCTGTCCTTGGTCTCCCGGGCCTTCTCGGCGGTGTAGTCCTTGTACTCGCCGAGCTTCTCGCCCGTGGCCTGCGCCGTCTGCGACGTCTTCTCCACCGCCGCGTCCTTGGCGCCGCCGAAGGTGCGGCCCACGGCGCTGGCTAAGGACCTGGCGCCCTCCTGCACGCTCTCCAGGATGCCGCCACCGGCGCCGGCGCTGGTGCCACCGTGGTCGGCGCGGGAGCGCGCGATCTCGTCCGCGGCCGAGCGGGCGTTCAACTCCGCCTTCTCGAGGTGCTCGTCCCGCGCCCGCGCCAGCTCCTCCACGGCGCGCCGCGCGTCGGCCTCGGCGCGCGCCTCACGCGTGTTCTGCCTCGATGCCATGGCGGTGGGTCGGTGACTCGGTGTAGCCTCTCTCTCTAGTCTCGGCTTCTCTCGAAACGCAGTAGTGTTTGTTTTGTTTCGCCTGGTCTCTGAGCTACTAGATCGTGTTACTGGGTTTGAAGCGTCGCAGCACACTAGTGAGCAAGCGCCGTGTAGATAAATACCCTGTCCTGAGAAATGAGAGCGGGACACGTACCTCCGCAAGGACGGACACGTGGGATTCATGTAGGCAGACAGGAACCAGTGACACGTACGTGACCGGCGCGCCGCTTCGCACCGGAGGCCGACACGTGCTACCGTGGCTCTGCTGCGGATGCATTGTGCTGCTTGCTACCGTGGTCGGTAATCGTTCTGGACCCTTCGTTTCCTCTGTGCAAAGAAGAGGTGAGCCTGAGCCCATTTACAGCCTGAAAGGGCCGAACGAAGGCCAGGCCGGATAGTCCATTTTGGGCTTGAATTTTCTGGGATGGCCCAAAACCAAACACCAATTCTGGACCTTCCTCTTACAAAATGTTGTCCAAAAAATAAAATGGTATGGCTAGCGTCCGGACACGCCGGTGCCTGCTGCTCTGCGACGCCCACACTCCCTCCGCTTCCTTGCCTGCCCCCTCTCCGCTTCCCGCACTCGTGTTGCCATCTCCTATAGGTCTGGACAAAATACTCGTGGCTCATCAACTCACTCGATTCGTGGCTGGCTCGGCTCGGCTCGGCTCGTTTTAACTTTTTTTACGAGCTGAGCTGAAAGTCTGGCTCACTGTTTTAACGAGCCAGCTCGCGGGCTGCTCACGAGCTGAAACGAGCTGAGGCCTATGAGCCCACGACCATGAATTCAAAAGATGATGATACTGACCTAGAAATATCAACCTATTCTATTGGTATGTAATTCTTATTTTCAGCAAGCAACTAGTAAGTATGCTGGAACTGCATGGATTATGGATAAACCAACTATGTTGCATGGTTGATACTTTTGATGAACCTGATGCGTATTAATCATATATGGTTGCATAATAGTGAACGTGACCTTCTGAAACTAATGTAGCATAAACATTATAAACATGTGCGTTCTATTTTTTTAGTAGCTCAAGAGCTAAACGAGCAAGCTCGAGCTCGCTAACGAGCCGAGCTGAGCTGCGCCTCTAGCTCGTAATATTAACGAGCTGGCTCGTTCGAGTTGGACCAAACCGAGGCGAGCTGGCTCGATATCCAGCCCTAATCTCCCTCGACTGGGCGTCAAAGCTGTTGGTGACAACGATAGGATGCGCCGTGGCGTTGATCAGGGAGTTCGTGGACAAGGAGAAGGTGGTGGCTACTCACCGGCGCCATTGCAACTTATGTAACACTAAATCTACTTTTGAAATATCCAAATGAAACATTTACAATATACATCTGACGACAAATGAAACACTTAAAACATACGTCTGAAACATGTGTGTGTAGCCCATTGCAACATGTACAACACCAAGATCTATTTTTAAAACATCCAGATGAAACATTTGCAACGTACGTCTGAACAACCTGAAACACTTGAAACATAAGCTTGCAACATGAATATTTTGTTATTGCAGCATATGCAACATCCGATATTTACTTTTGCAACACCCAGATGAAACACTAAAAACAAAAAGTCTGAAACATTTAAAACACAACGTTCGTCTGTATGGCCACGACCTACCTAGTGGGGGATTGTGGTAGCCAACACAAGCTTGGGTCAGGGGGACGTCGAGAACAATGACCCAGCATACACCTCCGCTACAGGACTTTCTTTCCTGCCATGGTGTCTTTGCATGACCGTAGGAGATGATGTCCCGGACGACAACGATCTCTTATTGGTGAAACCGGGTTGGTGGTGGCCCGGTGACGCCATGACTGTGACGGTGCGAGGTGGAGTGGGCGTCTCGACCTATGTTCGAGTCTCAGCCGGATACGATTCATGGTTTTTTTCCTCGAAAGAAAGGCAGAAGGCCCTCGGGACCGGTCGAACGGACTCAAGAACTATATGGATTGACTGCCAAGGGTCTGAAGTCGGTCACCAGTTGACCCGAGCAGGATCCCCGTGAACGGTATGCCGGGGCCCTACTTGGACTAGCCAGCTAACAACTCACCGAGCACCGTGGCTCGTCCATAGAGGAAAATCATGGCACGACTCAGCCTCTCTGGTTGCGGAAACCATGGACGGGGTGACGATCATAAAGATGAGCCGACCCTTGACCGGACCCCCGCTGCGCGTGGGGGCTCGAGAAAAGTTGGGCTCGCAAGGAGACCGAACGCACGGTCGCAGAACGACAGACCCTCGAAGGGGTCGAAATCAGGGAAGGACCTTTTCCGACCCACCAAACCTTACGACTACACCCTCGAGGGATCCGATCTCGACAAAAGGGAATCACCGTCCCCAGGTCATGCCATGGGCGACAAAAGAAGGCCAAGGCCATCAGAGTCCCCCCGCTTGGAAAACCTCTGAAGGAGTTTTCTACTCTTCCACAGGCTCGGGGCTACTATCGGGGACCAATACTAGGGTACCCGAAGAGGAGGAGCTAATGACCATCAATATTGACTCATCCGAGCAGTCAAGAGCGCGACTATAGCTCTAACCGAGCCCCTACCACGCAAGCTCCGCTTCTCCCGGCCTCTGGGAGATGGCACTGCCTCGCCCAACCTTTGGGTCTGCGCTCCGCCTCGCCCGACCCTTGGGTCTACGCTCAGCCTCGCCGCCTCTGGAGGAGGACTCTGCCACGCTCGACCCTGAGGTCGCGGCCTCCGCCTCGCTCGACCCTTGGGCCCGTGGGGTCCGCCTCACCTGACCCTTGTTCCTACGCTCCGCCTCACCCGACCCTGGGTCTACGCTCCACCTCGCCCGATCCTGAGACCGCGGGCTCCGCCTCGCTCGACCCTTGGGTCTATGCTCCGCCTTGCCCGACCCTTGGTCTGCACTCTGCCTCGCCTGACCCTTTAGCCTACGCTCCGCCTCCCCGACCCTTGGGTCTGCGCTCCGCCTCGCTTGGCCTCTGGGGGGAGGACTCCACCTTGCCCGACCCTGAGGCCGCGGGCTCCGCCTCGCCCGACGGAGACCCATACCGCCGTCAACCACTCCTGGTCCAAGCGTATGGGCCTGAGTCAAAGCTCTGACACTAGGGAAGAGACCGGCACGCCCTGATGTAACCCGTGGCGTTGACAGGCCATACCGCAGGATTCACATCAAGAACAACGTCGGGCGTACCGGTGTTGTTCTGCCTAACCCTCATACGAACACTGACGGGCGTATCAGTTCACCACGACGTTCGTCAGGACAGAGTGGAGCGCCATGACCGGCATATGACGCATGCGCATGGCGCTAGTGACGGATAGGACCGCGGCGAAGCCGTCCCTATTGACATCTACAGGGTCGGCGGGACCCGCATGAAGGAGAAGAAGAACCTGGTGATCCTAAAGGCCTTTGCTCTCTCTCTCTTGTTCTTCTTTTTCCTCCGTTATAACACATGCTTTTCTTTGGCCTATAAAAGGAAAAGCAGGGCGTCCCATAAGGGGCATCGCAACACATCACATCGATTCAGGCTAGATCCGATCGAACTATCACGAACCCATCGAACCTCGAACTGAAACGAGCTAAGGCCTATCAGCCCACGACCATGAATCCAAAAGGTGATGATGCTGACTTAGAAATGTCAACATATTCTATTGGTATGTAATCCTTATTTTCAGCTGTTTCATATGGATTTTGATTTTATAATTGTCGTGGTACTTAAATGTTGATTTATGGATTATTTTCCAGGGAGAAGATGATGATGCTAATATTAAATTTGTGGATTTTCCTAAGTCTGTGGTGGCAAGCAACTAGTAAGTATGTTGGAACTGCATGGATCATGGATGGACCAACTATGTTGCATGGTTGATACTTTTGATGAACCTGATGTGTATTAATCATATATGGTTGCATAATAGTGGACGTGACCTTCTAGAATTAATGTAGCATAAATATTATAAACATGTGTGTCCTATTTTTTTAGTAGCTCACGAGCTAAACAAGCACGCTCGAGCTCGCTAACGAGCCGAGCTGAGCTACGCCTCTAGCTCGTAATATTAATGAGCTAAGCCGAGCTGACTCGTTAGCCTAACGAGCCAGCTCGAGCTAGACTGAACCGAACCGAGCTGGCTCGATATCTAGCCCTAATCTCCCTCAACTGGGCGTCAAAGCTGCTGGTGACCATAATAGGACGCGCCGTGGCGTTGACTAGGGAGTTCGTGGACAAGGAGATGGTGGTGGCCATCCACCGGCACCATTGCAACATGTGTAACACTAAATCTACTTTTGAAACATCCAAATGAAACATTTGTAATATACATCTGACGACAAATGAAACACTTAAAACATACGTCTGAAACATGTGTGTAGCCCATTGCAACATGTACAACACCAAGATCTATTTTTTAAAACATCCAAATGAAACATTTACAACGTACGTTTGGACAACCTGAAACACTTAAAACATAAGCTTGCAACATGGGTATTTTGTTATTGCAGCATATGCAACATCCAATATTTACTTTTGCAACACCCAGATTAACACACTTAAAACAAAAGTCTAAAACATTTGAAACACAACGTTCGTTCGTGTGGCCACGACCTACCTAGTGGGGGACTGCGGTAGCCAACACAAGCTCGGGTCAGGGGGACGTCGAGAACAACGACCCAGCATACACCTCCGCTACAGGACTTTCTTTCCTGCCATGGTGTCTTCAGCTAGCCGCAAGAGACGATGTCCCGGATGACAATGACCTCTTAATGGTGGCATTGGGTTGGTGGTGGCCCGGTGACGCCATGACTACGACGGCGCGAGGTGGAGTGGGCGTGGTAGGGAATAGGGCGTGGGCGTGGCCAGCGATGGGGTGTGGCGTGGTGGGGGAAGGGTGCGCGGTGGGCCAGAGTGGAGCATACAAATGCGAGTTTGAAGAAAGGGCAGAGCAGGAGCACGGTGTTGGTGAAGGCTAAAAATGAGTGGATAAGA